TACTGATACTTTCTTTATGTTATCTAGAGGGGAGGAGTGTGTGCATTTACATCAGTTGCACAATTATAAATTCTGTGATGTACAATATTTTCTCTGGTACTTTCCTGTTATCTCAGTACCTACTTTCCTAGACCGCACTACCATCCAGACAAATCTTCAGGACAAGTTCATAATCATGACGACCTACCAGAAACTGTGAATTTTATTTTTCTGCATTCTGCCGAAACTGATTCTGGGAGGCAGTTAAGTGAAGTTAGGTTAGGTCAGGTGAAATTGGTCAGAGGGAAGGTACAGAGATAACAGGAAAGTAGGTACTGAGATAACAGGAAAGTACCTTTTTGCTTCTGTTAATATCCATGTATAGCTTATTTCTCTGATTTATATCTTGATGTGATGGAATATTTTTGGATGGATGTGGGTGGGGAGGGGAGAAGATTTGAATGTGGGAACATTATTTGAACCTTGTGATTGCTGAAAAGCAGAAGATGAAGCTTGTTTATCAATCAATCAATCCTTATGGAAAATTCACCAAGTAATTCAATATTTTCATACAGAAAATCCAGAAAGAGATTCATGTCGCATACTGTCAACATTCCCAGCAAGGTTTCCTCATCAACGAGTAGCTTCGCTATCCAGTTCCTTTTCGGACAGGTTTGTGAAGTGTGAATCAGGAGCATATCTTGAGGAAAACAGAGTCGAAATCAAGGGGAGAAAGAATCACACACACACACACAACCATCTTCGGTCAACAAGAATAGAAGGAAGGAAGGAAGAGCAGCAGCCGTGATGGGGGTGGGTGAGAGAGCAGGACGAGAAGCAGGGAGACTGCGAAGCCCAGAGAGGTACGGTATTGATCCAGCGAGAAGAGTTCCTAGCCTCCGGGAAATGTGGGCCGGGGTCTCGAGCAACAGCCTTCAAAAAATCCTCAAGTCCCCAACCCAACGTACCACGTGCTTGCAACTCCTGAGCCCTTCCGAGAACTGCCGAAACTTATTCGAGCTGGCTCTGGACCAGGCCCCTGGGGGTAAATCAGATGAGCTGGGGGGTGGGCTTTTGAACCATCAACGACGACCGGAGAAATTGCTCGAGGCGAATCTCCGAGAGGAAATCACGATTTCCTTCCACAAAGAGGAGAAAATTAGAACATTCTTGAAGCTGCACCTTATCGAATTGGCACATATTATTACTCAAAAGAACGTCCGATGGAAGGTGGTGAATCACGGTCAACATCAGCTTCCATCTCTTCCTATTGAAGACCGACCGAAAGTACAAATGTTCATAAACGCTTTTCAATAGGAGCATTCCCGCTCCCCACTATTTTTTCCGACGTCACAATCCTTCTGATGGCCTCTTTTTCTTCACTGTACAATACAAAACAAGACACAATATTTGGCCTGGTCTAATACAGGGATATATTTGAACTATTAATGCACCAAGAACTGCTAAACACTTCTTCTGTGACACGGCGAACCAAGGACAGTGGCTTCTGCATTCGCACAAGCCGTACCATTCTTAAATCAACATAGTGAGACACACTCGATTTCGCGAAGTTTGAGATGCAGCTGAGGTGATTCAAAAACAGTACAGCACAGGGATGTCTCAAACTAAGAAGACAAAATACCGGCGCTTCTAAGGCAAACGCGGAGGCAGGCAATAAACAACTGTACACTCCAAACAAGAGGGTGATCCTCAAACACTGTCATGCAAGTGAATGAATGAATTTTGCAAATTGAAAGGTGGTTTAGTAACAGCTTTCAGGGCCAACAGCACAGAGGTCGCCCCTTGAGGCGCAGTGTTGGACCCACGTCCTCAACAGAAGGGGCACACAAAAAATCCCGCCTGCACGCATGAGGACGCCCCGCCTCGTCAGCAAACCCCAGTCTTTCCTTGGATGGACATTCCCTGGTACAAATGTCGAAAAAAGTTTACATGCAGTAAATTACGCAAAATGTTTGTGCTATATGTATTTTTCCCTCTTTTATTGACTGTACTTAAATTCTTTCAAAAAACAGTAAAGACCTTTGTCTTCTAGCAACCTTAGGCCTGCGCCTTGCACTCACTCCATTAACCCAAACATTATTCTACAAAAACCCTACACACTGTTGCGCCACCTTCTGCTATACCATGTATATTTCTGTGCATAGTACCATTGTGCTGTGTGTCCGGCATATCTGCCAGTGATGTCCATGACAAAGTGCCAGGCCATTGGCATTATTGCTACTTTTGTACTGATCATCGCATACTTTTATAGCAAATTCATTGTACCTTATATAATTACAATCATTATAAAATGAGTTTGTGAATAACACATTTCTGAACATTTCTACTGTGTTTCACTACAGAGCTGCAATTCAGTCTTCAGTTATTGGGAGCTCAGCCAATGCCCATTATGGCCTACCAACAGGTCACAAGACCCCTCCCACAGAGTGCTCAGCCACCTCTTGGGTGCAACTCTTCCTCCTCATGATGGAACTCCAATGCCTCTTGGCCCTTGCACCACAGCTTGCCAGCTCAATTTCCTCTTTGACAGCCCTCCCCAGTCTGCCAGGACCCTTGAGACATTCTAACCATTGGTGCCATCAACACCTACATTAAGAACCAAGCCCTCTTGCAAGGCAATGCAACCACATGATTGGATCTCTTTGAGATCCTCTGTCTCTGTGGCATAAATTGGGCACCTGTTGTCATGGGGCCACACAATTTTGACATCCAAACTGGCAGGTACCCTCCTTGAGTGGCAGGACAACTTCCTGCATCAAACCATGGACAACAACATTGACAGGTACATCAGGAGACTCAACATCCTGTTGGCACATGGCATTATCAAATGGGCTGCATATATGGGTGTCTTTGGGATTTTCCAAGAGAGCTTTGTGATTGGTAATCATGAAGAAGTGGCAATGCTCTAAGTTGTAGCAGAATTTGATGGTGGCACTCCAAACTGCTGCAAGAAGTTTGCATTGTGTCTTGGAGTTATTGATGCAAAAACTTGATAGCAGCACCAAATGACCAAAAGTGCACCCCCTGCACCTGCCTGACAAAAACAATGCCACAGCAGCAGTAGCAGCTCCACCACCTTGACCAGTAGTGACACCAGAAGTCTCAAACCAATACCTAACAAAGGACAATGCAGCCAAGGACCTAGCCCAATCCAACCCCTGATCTGATGGCTGATCCTCCTGAGGACAAGAGCCTCCTTCTGGCCAAACCAGCAGCCACCATTGAGATCCACTCAATTTGGAACTGACTCTTCCTACTACAGTACTAACAGCCAGCAATGCCCTGCACAGCAACAAAGCACCCAGCGCTATTTCAAGAACCTCCTCCCAAGACGTCATAGGAGGTTCTTTCTGGGTGAGGGGGTGGGAGAGTAACAGCCAGCAGGGCCAACAGTACAGAGGTTGCCCCTCAGGGTGAAGTGTTGGACAAATGTTTTTGACTAAACCACAATCCATGATGACAAATCACCTGCACATGCACACCTCCTCTTATGCAGCCTGTATTCTACACAGTCCACTGACTGCCATATTAACAGACCCCTCTCCAGTCAAGGGGACGTCTACCCTCCAGCCATCAGCCAGTAAAGACCTTTGTTTCCTAGCAACCTTGGGCTTGCACCTTGTTCTTGTGCCCACTCTGTTAACCTAAACGTCATCTATGTAAACCTTATGCACTATTGAGCCACCCACTGGTATGCCATGTACAGTATATTTCTGTGCCAAGTGTTCCAGCATCCCTGCCAAAGTGCCTGACCATTTGCATTATTTGCTACTTTTGAACTAAACATTGTATACTATTACAGTGAATATTTTTTGAATCATATGAGATTGCCATTAACTGAGTATGTGAATGAAACTTTTTCCAACAACTCTTTTGTGTTTCACTGTGAAGCACAGATTCAGTCTTCAATTATTGTTTGAAACACAAGGTGGAACACATAATACTTGATAGGATTGGTAATGCCTGATGACATACAAATCAAGGCTCGCCTTTTTTTGAACATGTGGCAAGAAGCATGCAGGTGTACATCATGCATAACAAAGAATCAGAATGGGAACACAAGGAGTGTTTACCATTCCAAAAATCATGCTGTGCATCTTTAACACAAATACAGTTCAACATCTTCAAATCAAATTTCCAGGGACCAGCAAAAACAATCAAGTCAAGGAGGTTTTGAGTTAAGGATGCGAACAAAATAGTTGGGGATGAGAAAGAATGGAAGAGAATTCTAATTTGTGATAATCTGGGCCTTGAATTCCTTTTTAAATGAGTTGACATTTGTAGAACTTGGAGGCAAAGGTTCATGAGCCCAAATAGTCTTCCACTTCCTTTCAAAACACATCAAGGTACATTTTTATTGCTTTTTGCTTTTCTGTGCCAATGAAATGATGATCAAAAGGCCTCCAGAAAATTCAACTAATGGGGGCTTTTGGGAGGAAACATAAAATTTAGGCCTAGGGGGTTCTTGATCCTTTTTTTCTATGAGATATCAGACAGGGACTTCAAACAAGTTCAAAATAGCAAGGTATCTCACTTGGGGAGGTTTGAGTTATCCACCTTCAACAGTATTCCAACAAGATGCCTTCCTCCACAAATACGCTTTTCTTCCCTCAGAATCTTCTCCAGGGATGAAATTCAGACATTTGCAGAAGCAAAGGGTTGTGTCCTATCTATTAGTACCGTAACTCCATCCGAACAGCTTCAATCCTTCATGATTATCAATTTCCCTTCCTTCACTCTCTCCAGTCCATTCAGCACAAGTCAGAAAATAATGACAGGACAGGATGGCATCCGGGGTGAATCGTCGCAAATATAAGGTCACGATCAATCACGGAAATAAATTAATATTGAAACAAATTCAGAAACGCTGTAGAACGGAAAATCTTTCTGGCGCACGCTAAAGGAAAATCAAAGGTCAAATATCCTGGAGTGGGAAATTCGATTAGTAGCGATGAGTCTCAGCAACGTCACGGCATTCAGGAAGGAAAATATACAAGGAGTTCTAATAAGTTAATAATTTTATTGACATCTACTTATTGCAAGAAGGGCGAGCGCAAACGGAAAACATGGATCACACAACGATCGACTGACTGAAACCTTTCAACAGTCAAATCATGATTCAGGAGGCTTCTCTTGAACGGCTTTGGGCGTTAGTATGAATCGGATTCCAGATTTCGTTTCCTGTTTCTGGCTAATTACGCCGACCTCCGTCACATTCTTTTCAATATCAGCAAAAATTTCATTCTGCGGGGAAAAACATTTTGACTTACTGGGTCCATAGTCAGCATCCTCAAGTACATGAACTCACTGTTCGCTGCATATCATTGCACTTGTCAATTGCCACTTTCACTTGGTAACCCTTACGACACCATTCCTGAAGTTGATGGAGTCTTGGCTTCAAGTCATGCTCGGAAATGTGCGACTTGATTCCTGCCGCCTTTTCACCTTTCAGACCAATATTCCTTCAACAAAACGCATCAAGATCAAACTAACTTTCCCGACTTTTGCATTTACGATCTTATGAGACGCTCTAGATCCTCAAAAATCTCAACTTTTTCAGCTCCTCGAAAAAATCAAGATCGTTTTCGCGGATCTAGGTCACACAGCCACCTGCCTCAAAATTTCTCAACAGTTCAAAATTGCGACGATTTTCAGCAGAATGGACGGCACACGTATTAAGCTGGAGTTCTCACGTCAATTTCCAATGAAATCCTTTTCAAGTGGGAATGAATCAATCGCTTGGGAGTTGAAAAGGTTTGATGGTAGAAACAGAATGAAATTCTCACTCGCTTCCAAACATGCTAGAAACTCATTTGTGCAGGGTGAATCAAAAATGTGCCTCAATTTTCAAAGGGCAACACATGCATCTTCTCAAACACAATGCAATAATGAACAAAGACAAACTACCAATCAGGACTCACATCGAATTTTTCTCGGTGAAACTGACCTCTGAACACACTTCCGCATTCTTATCCAAATTTAAAATGCCAGTTGACATTCGCGGTACTGTATTTAATTTAATTCACGCCTCATTTTTGATATTCATAAATACAGGATATTAGCCATAAAAATGGTTGCACATTCTTGGGCCACCCAGAGAATTCGAATTTAGCAAGCAAATGTAGTAGATATCATTGATTGCAGAACGCACTCTAATTTCGGAGAACTTGTATCTTGTATTGGCCCAGTGAAAACATATCACACAAGAAGGGTTGGTATTGAAACGCATAAGAAATCGAGAGAAATCCAGACAAGACTAACTTGAGACGAGATTTTTGCACCTTTTTGAAATAATCGTGTGCATGCACCAGTCGATACGTATCACGCTGGCCTTCAGAAGCATTTCCAGCTTCACGCACGAGTCGCAAACTTTTGTGATCTGCGATTTTTTCCGCAGATTCCAGCGTCACCACACTGATTTCATTGTTGGTGTCCAACAGAGTCACGTACGGAGAACTCGGCGGGGTTTTCTTTTTCTTTTCACGCACATTCAATTCTGGATGAGGACTCTGCTTCGACTTTCTCGGCGAGTTGAACGAACACTTCACAAACGGAACCGCTTTCAGCGTATTTAGTTGAAGAAGTTTTGGACCGATGTTTAATAAACAACGCACCGTCATCTGCAAATAGAACTCAGGACATTATAGCCAAGTTGGAAAGGATGGCTCAAAAGGCAAAGAATCACTTCGAGTTCCAGTTCTTTTTCAAGGCTTGAAAACACCGTATAACTCGTTCATCACAAGCTGCACCTCCTTCAGCCTCTGTTTCTTTTTGGGAGGTGTGTGGTATTTAAGCTGAGTCATGACCGACTCTTCGGAAGTCAGGATCAGCTCGGCATCATTTCGCTGTGGGTTGAAGACCGGCGCATCACTCATCAGCTCGCCAGGCTGCCGAGAAATTTTGATTCTGTCAGATGAGTCTTCTTTCTGCAGCCTTTCATGCTCGGAGGCTGACGCAACAATGTTGATAGCAGGTGTCGAGAAGCATTCGTCCTCGTTTTCTGTTTTGATAGCAGGTGTGACACCCCGGTTTCCATCCCTTCTGCTTTCTTCTTTTGGAACTGGATCCTCGCCAGAAGCGCTGAATGGCGCATCAAGACCACAAAGCACCTGCATCAGAGTTGCTCTCTTACGCTTTTTTTCTTTCTTAGGCACAGGGATGGGTTTGGAGTCGTTCCCAGAGTGAAAACTCGCAACATGGAACTTCAATTTTTGCTGCAAAAAAAAGAGAAAAAAATCCCCCTGAAGGATCAAGACAAAAAAAGAACTTGACTCAACACCACACCTTTGTCGATAGCACCTTCAAACAAAATTCACAGGGATGCTTCTTGGATTCATGTGCTGCACGTATGTGTTGATCAAGATTCTTCTTGTACTTGTACTTTCGATCGCACACAGAACACGCGAACGGATCCAATTTTGAATGTGATGACATATGCTCGAATAGAAACTTCGGGTCACTAGGTACAAATCCACAGTCCGGGCATGAAACATCTGAAAAGCAGTTCAACAAAATATAAGCCTGATGATCTGGCGCAATATTTGACAATGAACCCAGGAGTATACTCGGATATGTAGAATACAAACTTACATCGGTCTTCCTTGTGCCGTTCTGCTAAATGTCGTCGAAGTTCACCATGAGTCGCATGCGTGGAGCCGCAATCATCTTTCTCGCAAACATGGATATGGGTTTTCTTGTGCCTGGTAAGTTGACTCTTGTATTCGAATGCCTTATCGCAATCGTCATCAAGGCACCTACGCGTGGAAAATTGGACGACATATCGTCAGAAAATCGGATGAAGTACCAGCAACCTTATGCGAAAATGGACTTACTTGTAGGGTTTGATCCCATCATGTCGTTTCCGATGCAACGCCAGAGAATGTTCGTCCTCAAATTTCAATCCACACACAAGGCATTTCAAGGATCCAGAAGCATGGGCACGCTTCTTGTGCTTCCTCAAATTTTCACTATAACTCAAAACCTTTCCACAACCGTCCACATCACACTTGAACTCTCCCTTGACATGCTTCGACTTTCGGTTCATGGACGAGTAATTTCCGTAGAACACAATGCGCTCGAAATGCAGAGGCACTGAAACCCAGGACGAATTTCTCCTAAAATCCAAAGCTGATCTCTGCACAAAACCGAAGCCCGTAATTAACTGAGTAAGAGTTAATTTCAGAAGGAATAACTTCCACTATACTTTCACACATGTGAAGGCAATAGCGCGGTCGATCAGTAAATAAATAAAGTTGGATGCCATATGGTTCAGAAATCAAAAAAATTACCCTACCCCACTGATTCTTCCCTCTGCCTTAACCCTCAACCTCCGGGGGTATTCTCAGGATGCCATTCCCTCCTTGGGCGCCATGCTCTCACAGCGCCCTTTTCTTTCAGAGCCATTGGGTTCTCCTCGCCGTGCTATGGAGTGACTTTAATTTGAAGCATTTTGGTGTAGGACTGATCACAATAACCTCAAGGAAAGACCATTTTTGATATCATTCCGATGGTTTCTGTTTGTTTCATCCATTCAATTTATTTTACGGTATTCCATATGCCAAAATACTCTTGTTGATAATTTGATGGTTTACAAACTGAAAAGTGAGCTATACATACAGAGTATACTAGAACTAGACCACAGGATTTTATACAGTATATAAGCAAAATTAGCTTGTTGTCTACTTTTATTCCATAACAGCAAGCAGGAAGTCCTATACGATCATTTCATATTTTGAAAACTTAAAGCCAACAAAAAAATTGTGAGTCCCACTAGAACAGTACAGTTGAACCTCTCTATAGGTCAAATTTCGAAGAAAAAAAAAATTGGACTTGGGGAGGTTATGGCTTAGAAAGGTTTTAATTTATGGAGGTTTAAGCTATAATACGAAGCTCTTGTGTTTCGGGAAACAGAAAAATTGCCAAAATTTGTAAATGGTACTATATTCAGGGTTTTAAATTGCTTCTGCAATCAGTTGAAGGGATGCTGAACTTGCAGCCAGGGGTTCATTTGCCCAATAAAGTCTTTCAATTCCTATTAAAATGCATCAATTTCCATATTTATTGAATGTTTTTCTCTGTTTTAAAGAAAATAATAGCCAACATGGGCAACAGAAAATTCAACTTAAAGAGGTTTGAAGGGAAACCCCTTTGACTAAGGGAGGTTTTAGTGTGTTGTTTTGAAGGGGATTCAGACTGGGATCTGGGAAAAATTGACTGAGGTGGATATTTGGGAGGTTCAAGTTATTGAGGTTCACCTGTATCAGAAATGCTTAGTAATACTGCAAATCTTTACATGATTTTCATTTTTATTTAGCTTCAAATTCAGATCATTGCCTAAATCTATCATTGTTCAATTTCATGAATGATTTTTAACATTTGTGGCACTATAGTTGACACAACCATTTTGAAACCGACATCATAATGTTTTTCAAAAAATAAAAAGGTATTTTGTTTCACACTTGCTTAAATTGTTTTATTTTTTTATATTTGGAGACATGTTAGACTTTGTGAAGGATGTTCAGAACCTGTCATTTAAATTTTTAACCTATTTTTTGCATTTTTGCCGTTGAATTTAATTCAAAAACTCAAAATTTATATGAAAAGTTCAACATTCATGTGAACTGTTGAAAAGCAAGTGGCTAGAAATGTCAATAAATATTTATTTTTCAATTTTATTGATATTTCCAGTGATGGATAGACTTAGTGAGGAGGGGTTAAACAGTATATAGGAAGAGATACTCAAACTTTAAAAGTGTATCATGAATTCTTGCGGCTGGATTTATCCAAGAAACTCAACAGTCATATGAGAAGTTCAGAATTCATTTGAATGGGTTTTAACCAAGTGGCTTCAAATAGTAACTGCCACCGTCGGCCATACTGTCCCGCGCGACAGGAAGCCATTGCGTATTAGATTATTTTGTGCCTTTGTTCGTATCGCCCAATCAGGGCTCACTCGATGCACGGCTCGCGCAACCGTTGACTAAGAGGTCCCCCGCAGCCTCATTCAATCATCGACCTCCATTTGGATAAGACCATTGTATATGTGTGTATAAGTGAATCCGCTACCGACTGAAAGTACAACTGTGTTCCTATGTCTAAGTAGTGTGTGGTTCCTTTCCTGCAGGATTACCAGATATCTGTAGTGACTAGATAGTGAGTTGACAAATGTCTTACTGGGGGATCAGCCAAACGTGATTGTACTATGGCCAACGAGCGGAACGAAACCAACCCCAAAAGGGAATCCCCCGCGGGTACCCCGTCATCTCCCCAGGCGCCCGCACCTTTGCTGAATCCAGCAGCAAACCCCTGGAACAATGTGATGTTAACCTTGATCCGCGCGTACTGTGCAACCCATCGCATCCCCGGATCCGAGCAGGATAGCCGAGAGGATCTCATGGTGGCCCTACAGGAAAGGGGCGTCACACCGTACCATGTCGTCATGAACACCTTGCCAGACCTGCAAGCCGGCCCCTCCGCACAGCATATCGCGGATCAACTGCTATGCCGACGCGTACCAGACTACCCAAAACAATCGGTCAATGAAGACATTGAAGTGTATCTGCGGCGGCTTGCGATTGCGTTCCGCCACAACAACACCTCAAACTTCACAAAAATTGATTGCCTGATCGGGCACTCACAACCAAAAGTCGCAGAAGCAGCGCAAGTACTCTATGAACAAGGGTACGTGGAATACGACGCGATTGCGGAACGTCTAAAAACGAGGTTCGGCCTAAGCCCCTATGAGCACTTCCAATGCTTCCTAGCTATTTGGCCGACAATGGACAAGACCTGGACGCAATTTGGCGATCGCCTTTGAGCAGAATACATCAGATACCTGCCGTTCACGGCTGAAGAACTCCCAAACCAGGAGAGAGCCATCACAGCAGGCCTGATTGGGCAGCTCCTCGCGATCACAACTGGGGGACTGCATTCACAGCTACACGCAAGGGCGACCGCAGATCGCAACCTATCCTGGGACAAATGTCTAGCGCTCGCAGACAAATACCGACGGACCCACCCAGCATCCCCAAAACCAGCCACGCCGACCCCGAATAATGCAACCAGACCGCCGAAAACAATGGCAAACGGCATTGTCAAGCATTATTGTGATCACCACCAGCACTACATCTTCCATACAACGGCCGAGTGCTCCCGCACAGGAACGGGAACAAGGAGCGCAACACCGGGAAACGCCTCGCCAAACCGAACCCTACAACAGTGCAGCTTCCACCCAGGCCGCATGGTGGCTCATTTGACGGCGGAATGTCAAAACAATCCGGCTAACCAGGTGACCTCAGCACAAGGTTCACAAACGGTTTAACCCAATAAATGTGTACAATGTGGTTCTACAGGCCACATGGCAGCAACATGCCCGAAGCAGGGAAATGAGAAAATTGGGCAGTGACGGCTGTCCTCTGCTCAATCCCAACACCCAAGATGACATCCTCACAATAATCATCAGCATCAAAGGACACCGCGTCACCGCCCTCATCGACACAGGGGCCACCAAATCCTTCATGGCAATGGACATCGCCGAAAAAGTGGGACTCACTCCCCATCCTACGAAAGCCAAGATCTCTGCCGCGATCCTTCACGTTTCTACGAACGTCAGCCATTCCGTGAGTACATCTTTCATACTTGGCACGGCAACCTACCACGCCTCTTTCTTTCTTCTCTTGAACGCGCGTTACCCAGTAATTCTTGGGCTTGACACGCTCATAGATTTCCCTTTCTGCATCACCTTCGATGGGCAACGCATCTTCTCCGGATTCCAAAAAATAAAACCGACAAACAAAACTCCCTGCGCCCTGGTTGGCGAGGGCATTACCTTTGTGCACAGTTCGGAAAATGAGCGATCCATTGTAAGCAGATTGCTTGGCAAGTACGCGGCCAACATCTTCCAATGGAGCGGAAAGCATGGGTTATTCCCACAGCATGTAGCCACGCTGCCAACAAATGGGCAGGACCCAGAACCCCCCCCGCCCCCACCCCCCCCCCCCCCCCCCCCCCCCCCCCCCCCCTCCCCCCCCCCCTGCCCCCCCCCCCCCCCCCCCCCCCCCCCCCGTAGGATCCGCCTATTGCCGGATAAATTGCCGGCACTGAACAAAATTGTTCAGAACTACATCTGCGCAGGGGTAGTCGAGCCGGCTCAATCGACGGTTAATTTGCCGGCATTCTTAACGTTGAAAAGTGACAATCCAAATGCTCCAGCAATCAAACGCTGGCGCATTGTCGAAGATTACCTCAAGATCAACAAGGTGCTGCTACCAGACAATTACCCAATGCCTGTGATACAGGATATTTTGGATGCCCTTGGCAGACAGAATGCATACTTCTGCTGCCTTGATTTACATGCAGGCTATCATCATATCCCGCTTCCTCACAGCAACCGCCATAAAACAGCCTTCTCAACGCCCACTGGACAAATGCAGTACACCGTCCTGCCCTATGGGCTCAAGACCGGACCGGCAATCTTTCAGAGGACCATGGAGACAATACTCCGGCCACACCTCTACACAAAGTGCCTCGTCTATATTGACGACGTCATCATCTTTGGAACAACCTTCAACAACGTGGTGGAAAACCTCGCCAATTTCATGGACACCCTCACGCAAGCAGGCGCATCCATAGACATCAAAAAATCGTGATTCCTGGCCAAATCAATAAAATTCCTGGGACACATCGTGGATAAGACGGGCACACGCCCAGCAGAAGAGCACCTGCAGGCAGTCAAAGCCTTCCCAAAACCCGCTACAACCAGGCAAATGCAAAGGTTTCTGGGACTCGCTACATATCTTTGAGCACACGTCCCCACCAACTTTGCCAACCTAGAAAAGGTCCTGCGGAACACAATCCCAGTAAAACCCACGACTGCGCTCCAATGGAATCCGGACGCGGACACAGCCTTTGAGAGCCTCAAAACAGCAATAGCCCAGGCAGCCTGACTGGAAAGATTCGAACCCTCATGGGACACAGAAATACATTGCAATGCGTCCGCAACCGCCATCGGGGCCATCCTAGTGCAGGTGGACGACCAAGCCCAGCCGCACATCATGGAGTACGCCAGCCGGGTCTTGACGCCCGCAGAAATGCGATACTCAAATACCCAGCAAGAACTGCTAGCGGCAGTGTGGGCCACAACAAAGAAATTTAGACACTACGTCAAGCATCGCCCTTTTAAAATCATTACGGATGACAAGGCGCTCCTGGGCGACCTGGCCGATACAAGGCTCATCAGCCTCAAATTAAAACTGGAATACTTCCAGTACACAACGTCCACTGCCCAGGAAAAACTCTGACAGGCCCAGATGCCCTCAGCAGGATCCAACTCAATTCAATACAATTGAAGGAAGTGCCAGATCCACAACTGCGAACGCAATTGATACAAGAATACCATGAGGAAA